GTGTATGTTTCTAGTGATTAAGTGTCCCATTGCATTACTTTACTTCTTATGGTTTAATTGCATTACTTTTTCGTGTAATGCTTCTAATGATAAAGCGTCTCATTGTAAAATCTATTATTTTTAGATCTTTATGCTTTCTGGATCGGATGCTATATCTTGCGAGCAATCTATATCAGGACTTGCCTCATATACAATCATATCATGATTGGAAGAATCGATTTGCTTCTCAACCTTGTTCTGTTGTGGATACGGAATATCTTACTGTTCTCCATCTGGGTAAGCTAGCTAACTCAAAACTTCAGGTTTCTTTTTTCCAACTTTATTGAAAAACGCTTGAAACTTTCGTTTTTTTGCTGTGGAAATATTTGTATAACTTGCAAAATCTGATGAATAGATATCTGTCATACCGACATTGCTGGGTCTCCTTATCAACCTTATGATCATCATTCCATCACGAGTTCCGCTAAACGAATCCCCGGTTCATTCGTTGATCCAAGATTGGTTGATCGGATTACTGGTCCTTCACATATGGACCTATCTGGTAAGAAATTCATCTTGATGTTCTTTTTTTTTTTGGTTTACTTTATAGTCAAGAACTTGCTTTCTTGCGCAACAAGTAATATCTTGATTCTCTTTCTTTCTTACAGACTATGTTCACGCGTATCAACTGTTTCGCAACTGTGGCGTGGCGGGAGAAGCTCAAGAGAATCAGAAATGTCGATATCAACTTGCTTCCCTCTACGTGGCTGCTTCGAGATGTCATTGGTTCGATCATAGGCACTCTTCTAACCACTCTCGGCTTCCCTTTCCTTGTGGCCTACTCTCTATTCCCATTGCTTGGATTTTCTGGTGCAATCAACTTAGCTGTGCAGAGGCTCATATGGCCGGTCCTATTAGCCATCATCATCATAGGGTTCTTTGCCAAGCTCACGCTCGATCTCTTCGTTTATATTCACCGTGTGGAGTATGATGATCGGTATCTGGTTGGCGATAGAGTGACTGATTTCAACGAAGATCCTGAGAAAGGGATCAAGTCAGGGCTATAATAGTACACGCTTATTTTGCATAGACAACTTTTTGATTTTAGACTTTCTTAGATTTCCTATGTTATATCTTAAATCTCTTGAATCTTTGTTATATGTCATAATCTGATCAGGTTAAAAACGTTTGATTTTGGGGTTTACAAAACAAAATATATGCGAATTGTCTGAATTTTTTGATATCATTTTAGAACATATTTCGACGAGATTATAATGACTGTTTTTTGGGCATCGTAAGTTGCATAAATTTATAGGCGGTGTACTTGTATAGATTGCTAGTGAATATGAAATTTACAATGTTGGATAGTTTCAAAATGTGATGTAATTTTTTTTACTCTCAACAACAGAATGTAATTACAACAGAGGTTATTACTCCACAATAATTGTAGCCAACCTTGGAATACTCTTGTTTGGTGCGAATGAGAAAGGGAAGCTTTAGAATCTAACAAAAAGAACTTGGTGCTAAGTAAAATTCTACATTTTGTGGTGCTCATAGTCATTCAGACACTACTTGCCTCATCATTTTCGCTTCTTCTCAGCTTGGGGTCTTAAAGAAAGGATGGTCAAGGGCTTCATTTGCTGTGAGACGCTCGGATGGATTATATTTCAATAAACCATACAAGAGATCTGCAAATCCAGATCTTGTATTGTCAACATGCTTCGCTACCATATCCTGCAAGTTTTGTAAGCATTTTCTACTGTTAGATTCCGACATATCGACAAAAGATACATCAACAGACACTAAGAAATATTAATGGTGCTTAACCTTGAGACGATCAAGTCTTTTTACAGCTCTAATACTTTCTCTAGAGTTGGCTCCTTCAGGCCAATTCAGCCTACACCCTCTCCTGAAATATTTCTCAGCACCACGGCTGCAAAAACATGATGACGTACATGCAATAATCTATGAGCATTATCTGATCTCTGTGGAGTTTCGTGTAGCCAAAAGTTTGTTGAAATAAAAAAAAAAAGTTACCATGCTTTTCGGGTCATATGTTCAGGCAAAGGTCCCAATGCCCTCTCCATCATAGCTAGATGTTCTAGGTTATCATGCGTCTGAAAGAGAGCCTCACCCTAATGTACAGTTTAAATATGTTGACTTGTAAGCAAAACAACTCAAAACACAAAAGATAAGAATTCATACAAGAAGATGAGAGAGACTTTACCGTGCATAGTTCAAATAGTATACAACCTACACTCCATAAGTCACACTGGTAACTCCATCCTAGACCTGCAATGATATGCCCTTGATTAGTCACCACGAACAAAATTACGTTCATTTGTTGGGAAGTGTCAGCTATGGATCTACAAGCATGTATTGACGAGCACATAACCGATTAACATACCTAAAATGACCTCGGGAGACCTGTAATGCCTTGTTTGGACAATGGAGTGATGAATCCGATTATCACAAACAGTACTGCCAAAATCAATCAGTTTAATGGCGCTTGACTTTGGTAAGCACCTGAAATGTGTCTCATTTGAACCACTCCTCTGTTAATTAAAAACAAACACCAAACTGTCAAAACTGCAATTTCTTAAAAGAAAATTTTCTTTTTCAAAATATTAGCTTGTCATTACTAGAGAGGTTATACACCAACCTAACTCCAGTTCTAGATACCTTATTGTCAGGAAGCTTTACATTTTCAGAAGACACCAAAAGAATGTTCTCAGGCTTGAGGTCGGTGTGAACTAACTGTAACTCGTGCATATCTGCAGATACAAAAAGAGATGTTAAAAGCAGGAGAGGCGTTAAGTAGGACTAGCAGCTTCTGGACTGAGGGAAACGGTAACGATGACATGCTAGATACAATAATTGTATAAACAGCCGAAAGGAGCAATTCACAAACATGCTACAGATTCCAAAAGCTGGCATCCAAAATCCCGAACAAGGGCCAGAGGAAATGCAGAGTATTTATTTCTCTTTAGAAAGTCAAACAAACTTGGGCCAAGCTTCTCGAACACCTGGTGACACCATTAGAATTCATTCAAAGGAAGGTTCTGTTTAGTTCCAAACTTCATCAACAGAATCCACATGGATTAACTACACAAACACTATACATGGAACTGGATTTCCGATGTTCAGGATTCAAACAAAAGAAAGATACCAGAGAGATTATGATTTATTCAATTCTAACAATAATAGACCTCACAGGCCATTGAACATAGAATCAATCAAAAAATTAGCGATGCATTTCAATGGTGGTAGGATCCAATGAAGCTTAATTGGGATACTTACAATGCAAATATGATTCCGGTAATCAAACCAATCCTTCATCTGTACACAGCTGCAAGGACAAAGCAGAGACGAGGAGACTGAGCAACAATAAACCTCTGAAGGAAACCATGTCACTCTTGCCATCAGCTAAAATCAGGAAGATAGATAAATTAATACCGTGTGCGGCCTTTATCACTCTTAACAAGTTTTTGAAGTACATCAATCTCAATCATTGCTGCATCCCGGTATTTCTTAATGCTTCGGATAATCTTTATTGCCACATATTCTTTTGTTTGACGGTCCCAACATTCCAAAACCCGACCAAATGTGCCTACAACACCAGCAATGTCACTGAAATGGCACGATTTGATTCACATAAACAGTTTTTATCTCGAACACACCATGCCACTTGACAGCTAACCTTCACCCATCTTGCTTAGTATTTTGTCTATCAAAACAAAACAGACAATGGAGTAAGATCAACATTGAGGCAATGCTGCCAACAACAAGTACTACTACCAATGCACATATGGGACTGTATAATTTAAAGGCAAAATTAGTAAATCTCTTACTTCTCACAGAAGTTGTTGACATAAACTTTAATCATCAAAATGTCATTTAGAAAAAGACAAAAAGGAACAATTATGAAGAAAAACTCACATCTAGGAGTGAGATTCTCCCTTAAACTGAACACATAATGACCATCACGATCATCCTCCCTTAAAGGTGGAGACAAAACCCTCCCATCGCTTCCATGTCCAGCTCTTTTAGCCTGTACAAAAAAGGCAAACTTTAATAATGTCAACCGAATCAAAACCTAACC